GCCCGCGGTGCGGACGGAGTCGACGGAGATGAGCAGCGTGTTGTCCTTCTCGATGCTGGTCACGGCGAGGACATTGCCGGTGAGGTCGAGCGGGGTTTGGGGCTTGAGGGAGCCGTCGGCTTCGAGGGTGAAGCATTGGAGTTGGGAGGATCTGAGGATGATTGAGGATTAGTGGTTGATCGTTCTCGATTCTGCGGTTGTTGTTGTTGATTTGATCAGATGGACTTACCCATCAAGCGCAACAAGAATGAGTCGCAGGTCCCCGAGTGTCGTGGCCCAGATTCCGCGGACGACCACCTCAGCGGCGGATGAGTCCTCGACCAAGGGAACCTTATGGAGAGCACGGCCCTCGGTCCAGTTCCAGACCATCAGGTAGTTGTCGCCTCCGCCGGAGATCAGGTACTCGGGAGCGTCCCGCGGCACGCAGATCTTGCTGATGAAGGCTGTATGGCCCAAGCAGTAGTTTTCGATGACATGCGCCTGGGGTGGGCCACGGGAGACACGGATGTGTTCGTCGCGGTCGGCGGTCAGGATATAGGTACGCTTGTGGGTGTCGGAAGGGAGAGATACGAAGAGCATGTCGGTGAGCAGCGAGACGTGGCCGAGCAGGAGATGGTGTTCGAACGAGGGGCCAGACTTCTCCTCCCCTGCTTCCTTTTTCTTCTTGGCGAGTTCAAGTTGCTGTTCCAAAGCTCTCAGATTGCCCTTTGTGTGCACGGTCAGGTTGGTTGCGGCAGGATGGCTGAGTTTCGCCTCTCTGTTCGGTCTGGGAGCAACGGCGGGCTTTTCATTACTGGGGATGAGGGGTAGAGAGTGAACGTCCCCGAATTTGTCGGCGCATAGGATTGTGGTCTCATCGCTAGTCAATGCTATAGAGGATGGTCGCTTGGGCATGATTCTGCGGGGGCAGCGTTAGTATACAACGACGAGCGCGCTCAGTTCGTGGGAAAGTATCATTGGCCACGCTTACCTCTCGTTGAGTTGTTGGAATGAACCATCATCTTGGACCTGGAAGACGCGAATACACTTGTCTTCTCCTGTGACAGCAATGACATATTCGCCGTTCGAAGTGCTAGTGACAATGGGAATGTTCGACCAAGCAGGCGGGGCCTTCGACTTCTCGGTCTTCTCTGCGGTCTCGGACTCTTCCACAGAGCCGCCCTCCGCCGTTGAGACCTTTCTTTTCTTCTCTGGGGGTTCTTGGTCACTTGAGCCGGTATCTTGTGGCCAGCTCGCAAGTCGTTGGCCGGTCTCGGCAGAGTAAGAGTACAGCCGTGGGCCTGCGGAGGCAAGCAGAAGCTTAGCCTGCGGCCTCTCCACAAACTGAATGCATTGAAAGGGGTATTGGAAGTTGAGAGCCATGGTGTGCCGCTTCAATTGGAGCTCAAAGATGGTGGTTCGGCCCCGATAATAATGGATATCGCAAGTAGCAATCGGAGAAAGCAACCTTTGCCCCCACTTGCGATTTGATAGATGGAATAGGCACAAGGCAGAAAAAAAAGCCTCTCACCGCCCGCGAGTGCGACACCGCATGCGACACCGCCTACTCCAAGCAGGAGCTGGAGCTAAGCGCGGAGCGGGGCCCACGTGACATATCGGCTAGCGAGGCCACAACCGAGTAAAGATTTCCTAAAATCCGCGGCGCGATTGTTTCTTCGATCCTTCAACGTTTCGATTTATTCGGACAACAACAACTTCAACAAATTTTCCCTTGCCCTTAAACAGCCTTTCTTCAGCGAAATAAGGAGAAATGGGGGGCAAGTCTGCTACCAAGGCCGCTTACTTCGAGAAGCTCAAGGCCCTTCTCGATGAGTACAAGACCGTCTTCATTGTCGGTGTCGACAATGTCAGCTCCCAGCAGATGCACGAGATCCGTGTCTCTCTGCGTGGTGAGGGTGTCGTCCTGATGGGTAAGAACACCATGGTAAGTCTCTCGTTCCCCTGCCGTCAATTGGCCGTCGCATATTAATGGTGTAATCAAAGGTCCGCCGTGCCATCAAGGGCTTCGTCACCGACAACCCGGAGTACGAGCGCCTGCTCCCCTTCGTCAAGGGTAGGTCATGATCCATACGTCTGCGATGAGGAGCTAGGAAGCTGACTGAGACGCGCAGGTAACGTCGGTTTCATCTTCACCAACGGTGACCTCAAGTCCACCAAGGAGAAGATCCTGGCCAACCGTGTCGCTGCTCCCGCTCGTGCCGGTGCCGTTGCCCCCGCTGATGTCTGGATTCCCGCTGGTAACACCGGTATGGAACCCGGTAAGACCTCTTTCTTCCAGGCTCTCGGTGTCCCCACCAAGATTGCTCGTGGTACCATTGAAATCACCACCGATCTGAAGCTCGTTGAGGCTGGTGCCAAGGTCGGCCCCTCCGAGGCCACCCTGTTGAACATGCTCAACATCTCTCCCTTCACCTACGGTATGACCATTTCCCAGGTCTACGACCAGGGTCAGACCTTCGGTGCCGAGGTTCTCGACATCGAGGAGTCCCAGCTCCTCGATGCCTTCAGCGCTGCCATCAAGACCATCACCAGCATCTCTTTGGCCGCTAACTTCCCCACCCTTCCCTCTGTCGTCCACTCCGTGGTCAACAGCTACAAGAAGGTTCTCGCTGTTGCCATCGAGACTGAGATCTCCTGGCCCGAGATTGAGGAGCTCAAGGACCGTATCGCCAACCCTGACGCTTACGCTTCTTCCGCTCCCGCTGCCGCCGCTGCCCCTGCTGGCGGTGATGCCCCCGCTGCCGAGGCCCCTGCTGAGGAGGCTGAGGAGTCCGACGAGGACATGGGCTTCGGTCTTTTCGACTAAGCGTCTCGCGTCTAGTTTGAACGTGACATGCACACCATGTTTTAGATATCTTTCTTGCCAGTCTTGACGATTGGATGAATGAAATGATTTTCATGGTCATGAATGTTGTGATCCTTCTCTCATCTACATAATGGAACGTAGTCTACGCTCCATTATATGATGAATCAACAAAGGTGAGCTTTTTTTTTGAAATCTGTCTTTCACGCACACTCTCCTTCGGTGGATGATGATCCTTTTTAACTCGTAGCTACGGCTTTGAAGATCAAAAACAGCAACAACTTACACTCTAATTTTTTGCTGACACCTTTGTTACCCTTTCACTTTTTGTTACTCACGTTCTTGAGGCAACCTGAAGGCTAACATCAATTGAAAATAGGTCTGCGTTGGTTCGTCGTAGGACGTAAAGCCAGCTTCTCGATCCACACCTTGAATGAGTGTCTTGCCAAAGTCTATGTGTAGGTTGAGTGATGCGCTTGTAGAAGTTTAGGAATATTGGGATATCTATTTCTGGAGGTCTAGGTCCTACGACGGGAGTGGCCGCAGCATGGTGTATGGAAGCTTTATAGCTAGCAATCAAACATCTAATTCGAATTCTCTTGTGCATGCCCCTTAATCACAGTTCTCACCCTATACTTGTAATTTGAAGACGAGCTCCTGAGTATGTCGAACCTGCGATCCAGCCTCGGGTCTTTTGGCGGATAATTTACTCACACTGTAACTTAGTTAACTAATTCTACTCCGCGTAGTCAGCGGTGATCAGCCGATTGGCGGCCCGAGGCACCGAGCGGCAGGACCTGCGCATGTCATGGAAACCCCTCCTTCCCAAGGTCCCCTCTTCCTCTTCTGTAAAATACCTTTGCAACCAAAATGCCCGAACAGTTTGCACCATTGAAGAACGACCTCCTGCTGAGGGCCGCCAGAGGTAGCCTTAACTGCAAATACATGCTCATCATCGAAGCAAGCTAACTCTCCACTAGGCGAGGAGGTTCCTCGTCCTCCGATCTGGGTCATGCGGCAAGGTACGCATTCCCCCTCCATCCTCCAAATCAAGGACCTGCGGCTGGAAGAAGAATGTGCAGTAACAGTCACTAACCTGGGTGGCTCATTCTGCTACAGCTGGTCGTTACCTCCCCGAATACCACGAAGCGAAAGGCAACCGCGACTTCTTCGAATGCTGCCGCAGCCCCGAGATTGCGTCCACATTGACTCTCCAGCCCATTGAGCGGTACGCCGGACTCATCGATGCCGCCATCATCTTCTCCGACATCCTGGTGATCCCCCAGGCCATGGGCATGCAGGTGGAGATGGTCGACAAGAAGGGCCCGCACTTCCCGCAACCGCTGCAGTCGCCGGACGACGGACAGTACGAGAAGGTGATGCAGAAGAAGGTGGACGTCAAGGCTGAGCTGGACTACGTCTACAAGGCCATCACGCTCACCCGCCACAAGCTGGCCGGCCGGGTGCCGTTGATCGGCTTCTGCGGAGCGCCCTGGACCCTGCTGTGCTACATGGTCGAAGGTGGAGGTACGAAGCTCTTCGTGCAGTCGAAGAAGTGGATCTACAGATACGCCGAGGAGTCCAAGGCTCTGCTGCAGAAGATCGCCGAGATCTGTGTCGAGTACCTGGCGCTTCAGGTCGAGGCCGGCGCGCAGCTGGTGCAGGTGTTCGACTCCTGGGCTGGGGAGATGTCGCCCGTGGCCTTCAGCCGGTTCTCTCTCCCATACCTGCGCTACATCTCGCAGAATCTCCCAAAGAAGTTGACGGAAATGGGTCTGGAACCTGTCCCGATGACGGTCTTCGCCAAGGGGGCTTGGTTTGCTTTGGAGGATCTGTGCGAGTCTGGCTACAACGTTGTCGGTCTGGACTGGCTGCATGATCCCGCCGAGGCCAAGAAGATTGCGAACGGTCGTGTGACGCTCCAGGGCAATGCTGATCCGGGTGTTCTTTATGGTACCCGCGAGGCCATCACCGAGGCCGTGGAGACTATGGTCCGCGGCTTCTGGCCGGGCAAGAAGGGCTGGATTGCCAACTTGGGACACGGTGAGATATATCCCGGTCTGGATGTTGAAGCTTCGCGTATACTAATAATACTGGTGGTGATTAGGCATCACTCCGTTCGTCAATCCCGATGACCTCAAATTCTACTTCGAGGAAATCCACCGCTTGACGGCGGCTTAAGATCGTCACTTGAAGTGGGTATGACTCATTTGCTCTCTTGTTGACTATATATATACGTATTGGATACCTCCGCTGCAGCGTATCTGCAAAATCCTTTTCTCGCGGTGACTCAGACGGCAATGTCCTCGTTCCTGTTTGGTCCCATATAGTCAGACTGGGCATTTCTTACCAGAAATCAAAAAGTGGCGGAAGTGTGTGATAGAAAAAGGGGGGAAAGAAATGATACCATGCTCCCAAAAAATGGAAAGACAAAATGGAAAAGCAAGTTCCAACTTACCAGAGCTCCGGCTTGTCCTTGACAAAGTCCTCCATCAACTTCTTGCACTCTTTGTTATCCAAGACCACCACTTCCTTCCCACGGTTGAGAAGGTATTCCTCCCCGCCCATGAAGTTCTTGTTCTCGCCGATGACGACGCGCTTCACCTTGTAGAGAATGCAGGCACCGGTGCACATATCGCATGGCGACAGGGTGGTGTACATGGTGGCACCTTCGTAGGCCGAAGCGGGCAACCGACCCGAGTTCTCAAGCGCAGACATCTCAGCCTAATTGCAATTTATTGAAAAGTTAATTCGCAAGCTCCTGCAGCTCAGCTACGTCATCATGCAAGGGCAGGCTGCTACTACAGTAAAACCACCCAACGCGACAATTTGATGTAGTACACGAGCTTGTCTGTCCAACCAAGAAAGAAAAAAACCCAACGCGGAAACCTACATGCAAAACGGCGCTGCCCTTCTGGACGCGCATATTGTGACCGCGACCGAGGATCTTGCCATCCTTGGACACCAGGGCAGCTCCAATGGGGACACCTCCCTCGGCCAATCCCTGCTTGGCCTCCTCGAGAGCGGCGATGAATCCGGGATCGGTTTCCATGGTGGATGGTGGTGGTGGTGGTTGTGGGGGAAAAGGGAGGGGGACGAGTGTCACTTCTGACAGCAGATTAGGAAAAGGAAAAAGAGAACTTCTGGAATCCGGAGATTCAAGATTAAGATTTGACGATAATCTTTAACCGAGCACTACGTACGGTCGTCGGTAACCTATCTTTCCTCCCCCCCTTCTGGCCTTATCTCTTTCCGCTTCGGTCTGCCGAGCCCGGGAGTTGGGGTTCTATTACTTCATCGTATCTGCCAAACTGCCGAGAGCCCCGGGCTCGGGTTGTATGGTTACTTATCCGTGAACTTGGGTGTCGTGACCTCGTTATTGGTAGAAGATTGGTGGACTTAGGTGAATACTTGCGAATGTGCTCGCTACTAAGTGGAATTGCTTGGGGAATCTTTTCATTTATGTTTCGGCGTCGAGGAACTGATTACGCTATTTGCTTGGTGTACAATACAGTAGAATTATAATTCACAAGTCCGGGATGAGCCTTGGAGATCCACTGTAGATGGAATTGCTATTGGACATCACTTTTTTTTCCCCCAATTAAACAAGCGCAGACCCTTTGTTGTCATTTCTTGAAGCTCATGTGTATTTTCTCTTGTATCTTTGCTCATTCCTTTGCCAGGTTGTTATGTCTGTGGATGCGAGAATAGTGAGGCAGAAGCTGGTCCTCCGTTTGAGAAACAACAGACAGATCACAATCAACTACACCTCAGAGGCCACGGCGGCATCTGCAGTCAATGGGCAGACAAGAGTTTGTAGTAGCCGCCGCGTCTTGTGTGAAATGGTCTTTGCACCTCCCCTGAGTGTCTCACTCCCCACTGCCCATGAAGAAGTTTTTGTCCCCAGTGGGAGTGGGACGAAGACGGACTACTGAGAGAAACAAGACTAGTCAAGCTCTCGCTCCGCAACAGCATGATTGATCTTCTAGGGCAAGCGAGGCGGAGGTCAAGGCTGATATCGCGGCTCAAGGCATGTCAAAGTCAAGCTTCAGAATGTGCAACCTTGGGACGTGAGCATCCTCAAGGATGCTGAAGTGTGTGGTCATTCGAGTCAAACCCGTTGGTCGATCCGGTGAAGGGCTGAGGATCTCTAAGTTGGCATGAAAGGATTCTGTTTTGTCGTCTTGTGCAGGTCGTTTCATGTTAAGGTATCTGGGATCGTGGATGTGCGGTAGGTCATTGAGTTCAAAGAGTCCTGTGGCTTGCGTGTTAGCCCATGTCATGCTAGATGATGTGAGGCTCTAATAGTGGGCTATGCATACTTCATGTAGTCGCAGGACGACTTGAGATTGGGGAAGTCTTATACCTCTGTTGCTTGAGCTTGAGACTTGGATTTAGATTTGATTTGTTGTGAAGGTGGTTTGCACAAACAATGTTATTGGCGACGCCGCTATGAGATTGTAAGGGGTGCTAAGCAAAATGGACTCCCTGCTTCAGAGAAAGTCGTTGCCTCGGCCATTCCAAGACCTGTTGTGCTGTCAGGATAAACTGTCAAAGTGGTCGATATTTCTTTGGTGCCTGGTATCACAGGTTTGGCATAGTGTATAATGCGCAACGATCTTAGAGAGGGTATTCGTATCTCACTGAGTTGAACAGCTACTCAGCTGCTTCGCGATGGGATTATGTAGAGACAGTAGACTATGCGAGACACCGTGTGGACTCGGACGAGAAGCAGAGAACCACAGTAGGAAGAAGTCATTTTATAAGACTACTCGTGTGAATAGGCTAGCTAGGCTAGGGCTCGGGTAGGTGGCAGTGCTCTTTTTCCATTTAGAGTCCTTCCTGTGCATTCGGTATCGAACACAGTCTCTCTCTATGTGCTAGAGGTCATGTGCCGATCGACGTTGGAGGAGTGTCCGAGTGGTTGTCATTGCGAGAGGGAAAAGTTTGGTATCCACATATCATTAGGAATAGTTTAGTATCTACACAGCATTGAGAGAATAACGATTTAGCAGCGCGACAAAGGAAGAACACTGACTGAGCACCCGGACTGAAGAGAGGCATCTCTACTTCTTAGATTGGGGCTATGGCAACGATAGAGGCCAGGTCTTGCGACCACCGCATCCGTGCGAACGCACGCTCGACATGTGGCTGCTGGAGCGGGCCTACTTCTGTCTCCTCTGGATTTGGATTTGTTGCAGATAGGTGCTCTTCATACATGCTCGGTAATCACCATCGCTTAGCATCTCCCAGCGCCTCCTGTCTCGAAAAATTGCGTCAGCATTAGAGAGACAGCTGAGAATTCAAAGGAATCAACTAAGGGAAAAAACCACCCCCTCACTATCGCCGCTGATGTCAAGTCCAGCAAGAGTGGCATTTTTTTTCCATGGCAGCTCAAAGCTACACAGTAGACCTTGCCTGCCGGCAGCTGAAAAGAACGGGGGTTCGGGCTTTATCTCATTAGCTGACGCTTGCGTGATTGTATAATGGGTATGAGGACAGTCAGCAATATAAGAAGCGAGATTAGCAGCCAATTACACCCACAGCCACACACACACGCATGGTAATACGAATGCTGCAACCCGATTGAGAATCACACAATATTTGTCTTTGTGAGGTGTGATGCTAGGAAGAGCGGCCTCTCCGGGGGAAGGAAGGCGGTTTTCTCCATGTATATTGCTTTTTGAACGAGCGAAGGATCGATCACCTTTTGTCTTTGTTGTTTGTATGTGTGGTTGGGTCTTATTACTTCAACGGCTGAGAGAGATTTGCAGGCCGCTTTGACCTTTCTTTCGTCCCCCTCTGGTTTGATGGCATACATTCGTTACCTTGCTGGCTCTTGGACAAAGATAGGAGTCTTCTCCGATAGCTCCGCGGATGTGAAGATGATGAAATGAGTGGCATGGATCATGCAGACCGTTCAGAACTCTCGCTAAGCGAGCTCCTTCGGTGGCGTAACCGTGCTGCGACTGGGTAGTTCGAGATATTGGATGCATGTTCGCTTACTCAGTGGACGGCACGATTTTTGTCCTTTCATGCCATGCTCTTGTTGGAGGATGGGGTCCTTGGGAGACGTGCCTTCAACTTTCTTCATGTCGGCTAGACATGGCTGATAGGCAAGTCCCCGGTTACTGGATGCGAACGAGCGAGACGAGATGGAGTGACAGGGATTGGCCTGCAGTGGCTCCTGCTCAAAAGTTTCTTGTTACATGCTATATTGTGACCAAGCCGGTGGCAATGGACCCTTCTCGTATGCTCTGTATAACACAGGTGAGTTGACCCACGATCCTGCCATGAGCAACTAGATCGGCATTGGCTATAAGATTTTCTCTCTTCTCCGTCATCTCCGAGGAACAATGCTGCCGGGCATTTCTGGCCACTGCCATGATCGCGGCAGGTCATCTAGATCGCCAATCTGAGTTGAAGACGCCATCCTTGGCTGTGATGTGCCCGGGAACCCTGAACCGCGGCTGCTACGGCTTCATCCTAGTTTAAGCCTCGCATAGCTGATCATGCGAACGATGGTAATACCATCCAAGCAATTGCGGGAGCTGATCGTAGTGGCTGGCACGCCACCTAGATGTCGATGTAGCGCCTCATCCACAAAGTTTGGGGCACATAGAGACCTCTGGTGAGTTCAATAAGGAAAGACGTCTCGTGTCCGACAAGCCTTTATTGAAGTTCACCTTCCCTGGCTAGCGTCTTCCAAGAATTGGTAGTATAGGAATCACGAAGGGGGTCAGGAAGTATGTTTACATAGGGCCATGGAAGCGAGCTCCCAGTCTTTGAATTGAGGTATGAGGATTGGGATGTCGTGATCGCGAGACGATACGGACTCATCGGGAAGGAATACGATATATCATGGATGATGTTGGAACATGGTCCGAGATCGGGGGAGTGTGTTTCTTTTTTGTTCTTATTTTATTCTATTCTATTAGTCTGTTCTTCGTGGCAACTGCAGTAGTCTGTTCCTTTCGGAGTGGCCCCTTGATATTAGCGTTGTGGCGGACATACCGCCATGAAAACTCAACCAGGATGGCCCATCAGATATTACTCAATAGTTAATTAGACTGCATATTGAAATCTTACTTTTAATTTGACTAGGCGGTTTGACAGGTTCCCATGGTGGAGCAAGCGCGGGCGTCGGAGAGAAAAAGCTTCGATCTCAAATTAAGAAATCCGAGGAGATGGGCGTGGTTTGGATATACGAGGTCTGTAAGTGGATCATTGGCAACTCCAAGACCTGCGAAAAGGGAATATCAAGCTATGGCTGCATGGCTGCCACGCTCCGAAGCTGAAATCTGTCCAATGGCCTGGTGTCTGCAGAAGGTGACCACTCGGTAGATTGTATAGCCAGCATGTCACCACGATAAGATTGATGGCGCAATACTGGGGCGTAGAAGCAGCTAAGAAGGCCCTGCAGCAGTCAAGAGAACTGGACTATGGTGTGATTGGCATAAATATTGCGCAAGAGTGAGGGTTTCTGGGGGATTATTGGAGGAGCAGCATGAGGTTGCCCAGCTTCATATAGTACCTTTTACTGAGGACCTAGTACTCCGTATACTTTGGTTAGTGTACTTAGCAGCTTAGCACGTCCTCTTCGGGCTCGTTCTCCGAGAGAGAGAGATTGAGAAGGATGCTTGCTCGTCGACCGAACGAGAAGAATGATCAGCAGCAGCAGCAGCAGCAACAGCCCCCTGGGTCAATCAGACGAGCGAAAAGCACAGACTGAGGCTCGACAGGGGTAGGGGTACGTACGTACTTCCAGAAAGTACGTACCCTCTTCCGCACGTGCCAAGACCAATCGGCAAAGGGAAGCGAAGGAGGTGTTTGGGAGAAGTTGAGAACAGTCTTCGTGTGTTACAAGTCTGGTGACCCAGAAGGTTGCCATGTGCTAATCTGTAATGTGTAAGAAGCAAACAGATTAAGACAGCAGCCACCAAACTCTCAGTCCTTCAGAGGTCTGAGGTCAATACATTTGCAGTAGCTACTATAGTCTAATAATCACAGCAGCGCAGCAACACGAGAGATTCAGTCAGTCACTCGTCATGGCGAACCCACACGTGGGCCTACCCTAAGATGGAAGGTTTTCACCATCAACCCCTGCGATGGCGTGTTCTGCCGCGGCTCCCATTGGTTTTGGCCTGTCCACCGCAGTGAGGGTCGCCATCTCCCTGGGTCT